CTCATCTCTCATTCTCTCTCTCACACCCCATGCAGAGACTGCATGATGAGGAGATGAACAGGAAGCAGGAGTGGGAGAGGTACCTACAGGCGAGCTCCCGCAACGCAACACTGCAGGACCGCCACACCGACCGCACCAGGCAAGTACTACTACTAGGGCCATAATAAAAATATTGCTTGTTTGCCCTCACCCGACTGACCCGCCAAAAAGGGGCCGACTCACATTTTTTCATTTTTCCCATTTTTTTTTTTTTTACAAATTGTATCACTGTACATTATATAAATCTGTAGGCAATACATTATATGTATCAAGCAAAACAAACATTCAACATAAAAGGTATCTACACACATGCACACTCGAGCATGTAGACACCATGCTGAATTTGTAAAAAGACCCCCCCTCAAAAAAAAGAAGAGCCTATACCTACCCACCCAAACTTTTCAGCCTGGGTCGGGTGAGGGCAAACAAATATTTTTTTAATTGTGGCCTAACGCGTGCTCGCACCTTTCCTACACGCTCCCTCGTGGAATAGTCTCTCTTCCGCTTTCCTCAAAGTTCTGCCTTTCGGAATATATTCTCGATTGCTAAAGTCGCACTCGGTTTGTTTTGCACGATAACACCGTTTCCGGCGTCGCCGCAGTTGCACCTAGCTTTTTCGCTTTTTCGCAGCACGGAGAGGTTTCTGTTTCTATATTCCCTCTCCACTGAAACTCCTTTGCATCCCGATCAGCGCTCCATACCTTATCATACTCTTGGTGGCCACTATCGGACGCATGTGGACCAGCAATCGATGCCAAAAATGCCAATCTCGCTCGGCACCACTAGATGTGTGCGGCCCCTCGCACAGTCCCACTCCCCGCTCCCTGCTCACAGCCCCTTAGGCCACCCTTAAAAAATCGTTTGTTTCCCCTTTACCTACTCGCCTCTCAGGGTACCGAGTAGGTAGGTAGGTGAAAAATCTTTTTTATTTTGTTTTAACAAGATGTGTGTATGTATATTGTATATTCTGTTTTGTGTATACATGTTCTTGCGGAACGAATTAGATTGTTTTGTTTGGCGAAACAAAATAATTTTTGTTTTGTTTCAAGCGGCCAATAAAATGTGTCGAGTAGCGGCGTTTTGGCGAGTCGGTCGGTATAGGGGAAACAAGCAATATTTTATCTTAGGCCTTATAGGGGTAGAAATTAACTTCTGAGCAAGGTAAAAATACGGTAATTTCGCTTGGGAATAATTAGGAGGCCGTGCGCTGGAACAAACTAGTTAGTATAGCAGAATTTTCAGGGAGTCACAAGGGAATATGTCAAATCAGGGAGTCCGACAGTAAATCAGGAAGTATTTGACTCCAGGCTCGCGTTAATTTCGCACCCAGGGCCCTGCCCTTATACACACTCACCCCCTTGTGTGTGTGTGTTGTGTAGGAAGGAGGAAGCATGTAGACTGCTGGAGGAGAATCGACATCTCGCCCAGCAGCAGCGCGCGCGGCTCGCTCACCTAGACGCTGACGTCTACACCAACGTGCCGACCCGCGACTACTTCTCACAGTTCAACACCAGCTCTCGCTGACCCCGCGACCTTGACGTCTACACCAACGTGCCGACCCGCGACTACTTCTCACAGTTCAACACCAGCTCTCGCTGACCCCGCGACCTTGACGTCTACACCAACGTGCCGACCCGCGACTACTTCTCACAGTTCAACACCAGCTCTCGCTGACCCCGCGACCTTGACGTCTACACCAACGTGCCGACCCGCGACTACTTCTCACAGTTCAACACCAGCTCTCGCTGACCCCGCGACCCCAACGCTAAGGTCGCACACAACGAATGTTGGGTGCGAACTCGATTTCAACGTGTGTAGCTCATTCGATCCTGTGCGAAATGTGTGAATCCTTCAAAAATGTGTGTAGGGTGTTTGATGCTGTATTCAATGTGTGTAGGGCATTCAATCCTGTATTCAATGCCCTACACACATTGAATACAGTATCGAATGCCCTACACACATTGAATACAGTATCGAATGCCCTACACACATTGAATACAGTATCGAATGCCCTACACACATTGAATACAGTATCGAATGCCCTACCCACATTGAATACAGGATTGAATGCCCTACACACATTTAATACAGGATTGAATGCCCTACACACATTGAATACAGTATTGAATGCCCTACACACATTGCATACAGGATTGAATGCCCTACACACATTGAATACAGTATCGAATGCCCTACACACATTGAATACAGTATCGAATGCTCTACACACATTGAATACAGGATTGAATGCCCTACACATATACACATATTGAATAAAGGATCGTAAGCCCTACACACATTGAATACAACATCAAACACCCTACACACATTGAATACAGTATCGAATGCTCTACACACATTGAATACAGGATTGAATGCCCTACACATATACACATATTGAATAAAGGATCGTAAGCCCTACACACATTGAATACAACATCAAACACCCTAGTGACCCTACACACATTGAATACAGTATCGAATGCTCTACACACATTGCGATACTGTATTCAATGTGTAGGGCATTTGATCCCAGGGGTGGATCCAGGATTTTTGAAAAGGGGGTGTCCAGGAAGAAATAAAGGGCACTTTTTCCTGCTTACTTTTTCTGGTGTTTTAAAAAAGGACACTTAGGGGGGGACCTCCCCCAAGATTTTTTTTTTAAATTGGTGCATTCTGAGAGCATCTGAGCAGTAATTTTGATGTCTAGACTGCAAACATTTATCAGATCCAGTACCCCGGATGCCTGCGGACCCCTCTTTGCTCATTTCTAGGTTTTTATAACGAATTTACATATATATAAGTAAATCTTTATCAGAAAAACTAGCGCTAAACAAGATTTTTTCATGGAAACAATATAAGAGGTGTGTGTGTGTGTGCGCGCGCGCGCGTGCGTGTGTATGCTTTTTTTCCTTTTTTTGTGGTAAAAAAAGGGGGGGGTCCGGAACCCCTCGACCCCCCCTCTGGATCCGCCCCTGATCATCCTGTATTCAATGTGTGTAGGGCATTCAATCCTGTTTTCAATGTGTGTAGGGCATTCGATCCTGTATTTGACATGTGTAGTGCAATTCGATCCCGATCGAATGCGTGTTTCTTTGTTCTCCGATTTTGTTGTTGTCAGTGTCTACGTTTTACTTTGTCAGTGTAGGTTAGCAGTCTAGCTGTGTAGATAAGTATGTGTGCAAATTTTCATTTAGCGCGTGAGAGATATGTGACTTGATAGACACGCGTTGTGTAGTGCGTGGGGGAAGAAGACATAGACACATTATTTGCACCACTGGTAGTATTGCATCTGTATGCACCTGAGCAAAACCAAACGATATAATTAACAAGTGTTCATGGAGTTTTATTTAGCAACACCGTAACGCCGTATTCACACAAAGTTGGCTCAGTTACAACGATATTGGACGCGTGTGTTTACATTTACAATAAATAGTAAATCTGTAAGTCTAACGCATCCGCTGTGCGTGAATTCAATATAGTGTTCAATTCATCACGATCTCAATCTCTCTCCATCTATCTATCTCTATCTGTCTCTCTGTTTGTCTGTCTGCCTACCTGCCTCCCTACCTACGTATCTATCTATCTCTATCTGTCTCTCTGTCTGTCTGTCTGCCTACCTGCCTCCCTACCTACGTATCTATCTATCTCTATCTGTCTCTCTGTCTGTCTGTCTGCCTACCTGCCTCCCTACCTACGTATCTATCTATCTCTATCTGTCTCTCTGTCTGTCTG